AAAAAAAAAGAAAAGAAAAAAGAAAAGGAAAGAAAGCTCTTTCAGTGATGAAATCAGTGTAGGCCTGACTTTGGGGTAATTGGACTGACCAGAAAGTGTTTATTGAATTCCAGAGACTCTTCTTTTCTGGGAAGCTTCATCTACTTTTCAAACAGTAAGATATATTTTTTAAAAAATTTGTACATATTTTATGATTATTTAAACAGGAAAAAAAAAGAACCCTGCACCCACAATATAGGGTGTGTTATATCCAGCTTAGCACTGCTCAACAGCAGCAAAGCACTTTCTAGAAACACTTACCTAGATTTTATAAATATAGATTTAGGAAGTTTTACATATTACTTTCATGTATGATGTGTGTGCAAGTTAACTTTCCTTAAACTTTTTTTTTGGGAGGTGGGGGTAGCAGGAATTAAACTCAAGAGCACTGAACCACTGAGCCACATCCCCAGCCCTGTTTTGTATTTTATTTAGAGACAGAGTCTCACTGAGTTGCTTTGTACCTTGCTTTTGCTGAGGCTGGCTTTGTACTTGCGATCCTCCTGTCTCAACCTCCTGACACTGGGATTACAAGCATGCACCACCGTGCCCAGCTTCCTTATGTTTTAATGCTCTTTCGAGGATAACCCCTATAAATATCAACTACTGAAAATAAGTCATCATATTCATATTGTCTTATTTCAGTTTGCTATCTGGCCTCAATGAAACAAGTTAAGAAATAGTGTTCTTGGTTGTTTTTGGTAATCATGGATGCCTCTTTTTCTTTTCATAATAAAGAGTAACAAAAAATGTTCAAAGTTATTCAAAGGGTGGAAGTACTATTTATTTTTTATTCTTTTAAAATATGACAGTAGAATGTATTTGACGTACATACAAGGAGTAGAACTTCCCATTCTTGTGGTTGTACATGATGTAGAGTTACACATTTCCTATATGAATATAGGAAAATAATGTCCAGTTCATTTTACTATCTTTCCTATTTCCATCCCCCTTCTGTTTTCCCCCAATTCACAGTACTATTTATTGAAGTAAGGAACATAAGAAGAATTATTAGAGCTGGGGGTGTAGCTCAGTGGTAGAGCTGTTCAATAAAAGGGAATTGAAAGCATTTCAAAATCAATCACTCCACATAAATATGGCCAAATATGAGTCTGATATATACCATAATCTCTTCTTATGGTCTTACCCTTTGCTGCACATTTGTTTCAATAGGATTCCATATTTTGGGTATGCATATCAAGAGATGACACCAAACAGAAGTTGGAATCATTATGGTTAACCTGAGTATGTTGGAAACGAAGGAGAGGTTGAACATTATTATACACAGGCCATGAATCAGAGTGAATGTTAGCTACACTATAAAACAGACAGCAAAGTTTGGGTGGAATAGTCACCAGCAATTTCCGAATAACCAATAGCTGATTGACAGGTAATATCTCTCATGTCCCAAACCCATATTTGCTGTATGGCTGCTATGATACTTGATTTTTTGGCTAAAATAGGATTCGTCAATTTGCAAGTAGTGAGCTGTACCACCACCCTATTTCAGAAATGCTTGTATGGGGCTGGGGATGTGGCTCAAGCTGTAGCGCGCTCGCCTGGCATGCGTGCAGCCCGGGTTCGATCCTCAGCACCACATACAAACAAAGATGTTGTGTCCGCCGAAAACTAAAAAATAAATATTAAAAAATTCTCTCTCTCTCTTTAAAAAAAAAAAAGAAATGCTTGTATACTTGGAGATAGAATTGTAGATATTCAATCAATGGAAGAATTTGAACAATTTGACCCAGGGAGACAAATTGTTCAATTGACCCAATCTTCTGTTGAAATGCCTCCAAGCAAGATAAAAAGAAACATAGTAGAAGACTGAAAAGAAGTCTTCAGAGAGGAAAAGAAAAAGGAGATAACCAATTTTGGGAAAATCAAGGAGGAAAAAGTTGTGAAGAGGGATAGATCAGTCTTGGTTTTACTGTAGAAAACAAAGCAGAAAATAATTTATTAAGTCGGGGAATTAGGTGTATAGCAAATGATTGGAAGATCAGTGTGTGGGAGTCAGGGCCAGCACTGAATGTATGAGTGAGCTCAAGACATCTGTAGACAGTATCCTGTGGTTAGGAAGTTGCTGCTGTTGAGATTTATTTATATATTTATTTATTATACATGACAGAAGAATACAGTTCAATTCATAGTACACATATAGAGCATAATTTTTCATGTCTCTGGTTATACACAAATCATTTGTGTTTTCATACATGTACTTATTATAATGATGTCTGTGGTTGAGTCTTCATGGCACAGCCACGGTGGCCTCTCAACCTCTGCAAGGGCGGAATGTTCATTTTGGCCCCATCCTTGACCTGGCTCACCAAAAGAAATAATAATGGGAAAAACAGCCTCTTCCTATACTCTGTTTGTACCAAAGAGACAAAGTCCAGTTTGCATACAGCCTAATTCTCAAAGTGTAATTCCCCAGACCAGCCACATGAATAAAATCTGGGAACGCAGAAGAAAAACAAATTCTCTGTTCCCACATCAAAATTTAAACTCTTGAGGTAGGCCTAGCCATCTGTTTTGCTTCTTTGTGTTATTTGTTTGTTTATTTGTCTTTAGGGGCATATGTTGGGGATAAACCCAGGGCTTCACGCATGCTAGGCAAGCACTACCCGTGAGCTACATCCCCAACCCTAGTAACCTTTTTTTTTTTTTTTAAAAAAAAACAAGCCCTCCAGGTGATCCTAATACATGCTAAATTTGAGAACCATTGGCCTAAAGAATCCCAGCCTACTTAAGGGAGACTGGAAAAATAACAGTTTTATTTTTAGTTCTGCAGTACCAGAGGATGACATGGGGGTAGGAATTGGTACCCAAAACCAGTGACCACATCCGGCAAAAGAGAATGGTCAGTGGTGTCAGAGGCCTCAATGATAGATGGAATATAATGGTACCTGAAGAGAAATGGTTGAATCTCTCAATTAGGAGATCACTGAAGAGTTTCTGGGGTGGGTCTTGCAGGATAACTGATGAAATGACATTAAGTCCAATTATGATGGACTAGGCCTGAACATAGAGAACTCTTATACTTGGGGTGGCTGTGCAACAGAGACAAGACATGGGTTTTCAGCTGGAGTTCAAATCTTCTGCTTCCCCCACGACCAGGTCTGTGCCCTGTACCATCCCGGCTCCATTTCTACAACTTTTTTCAGGATCTAATATGTACCAGACACTGTACTAGGCTCTACGTCATCTTTAATCCTTACAGCCACCTTGTAGGATGAGTAGGAAAATTTAGCTGAATTGCCTGTGGCCAAGTCTGTCTTGCTGCTCTGAGGTTTGAGGTCTGTCCCTATGCCTTCTGTTCTTGCTCTAGAAATTCTCTGGACTCACTGAGATGTGTTTTTATGAAAGATATAAGTTTTAAAAATACATGAAGGTATGTTTTTAGTGAGAATATAGAAGATTCAGTTCATTTTATTCATTTTGTTTTCATTTTACATGATTTTTTAGACATAGAGGACAAGTACCTTATATACATATACTGATGAAAAACTTAGTTTAAAATGCTTGGTTCTCATACAGACTTCACTATTAGAAAATATAGCTTGTGTGTGTGTTTGGGGGCTGGGGGAAGAAGTACCCCTGAGCTATATCTCCAGCACTTTTTAGGCAGAATCTCACTAAGTTGCACAGGCTGGCCTTGAACTTATGATCCTCCTGCCTCAGCTGGAATTGTAGGCATGTGCCGATATACTTGGTGAAAATATAGCATTTCTAAGTATTTTTTTTTCCATAACAGCATTTTTGAGCTACTTCTGGTTATGAAACTAATGATCTTTCACTACGTAAAAAAGACTAAATCTGGGGCTGAGGTTGTGGCTCAGCAGTAGAGCCCTTGCCCAGCATGTGCAAGGCCCTGGGTTCCATCCTCAGCACCACATATAAATAAATAAATAAATAAATAAATAAATAAATAAATAAAGGTATAAAAACATTAACAGTTAAAAGATCCCTGAATATTAGCAGTACCTCACTTTTCCTTTATCTGGTGAACATTCTCCACTTATCAGAAGAGATGGCCCCCATTCCTTACAGTTCTTTCTGGGCTCCTCCTCCTATTCCACACCCCCCCCACCCCTGTCCCGATTGGTGGGTGTGGCTTCCCCACTCCCCAACAAGCCATTACTTTTGCTTCTTTCCACAACTTTATAATCTCTTCTTCCCTTTATCTGCCTTATGTATATATAGCCTATTTATACCTTGCTTTTCCTCCTGACTTCCTCTCCTCTTCTCCAATGAGCACACATAAGACCAGGAACCAAGCGTTATAAACAGGCACCTCTCCCGAAGATAGACTTGTGAACCCATTTCTTTTTACAACTCATTGGAGGCCTGGGGTTGTGGCTCTCAGCGGTAGAGCACTTGCCTAGCACGTGCCAGACGCTGGGTTGGATCCTCAGCACCACATAAAAATATATAAAGGTATTGTGCCCAATTATAACAACAAAAAAAAATCAAACAACTCATTGGAAAGCAAAACAAACATCTAGCTGGATGTGGTGGTGTGCATCTGTAATCCAATGATTCAGGAGGCTGAGGCAGGAGGATCACAAGTTCAGCAACTTAGTGATACCCTGTTTCAAAATAAAATGTAAAAAGGACTGGGGTATAGTTCATTGGGAGAGAGCCCCTGGGTTTAATCTCCTGTACTGCAAAAAAGAAAAAAAAAAGGAAAGAAAATACATTTTTAACATTGGAATATATGGTTAGGAGTTGATTGAAAGGCTTCCTTTTAGAGTTGGGGATATAGCTCAGTGTAGGGTAACTGGCATGTGTGAGGCCCTGAGTTTGATTCCCAGCACTAAAAAAATAATAAAATTTAAAAAATTTTAAAAACCTCATTTTTTAATATAATGTGTAACTTAAATACTTGTAATTACTTAACATTATGAATGTTTAAAAACCAAATTATAAATGATTTTAATTAGTATTTACTTTCTCATTAGCTAAGAAATCTTCAAAGCAAACTTCTCATAAAGGAAAGTATGTTGCAAGAGATGAAGAGTGAGTTAGAAAGTTATAAAGAAAATAACACCCAACAGTCATTCCAGATAATGTCCCTGAGAGATGATATCCAGGACCTACAGGAACTCATTGCTTCTCTAACCAGAATTAAGTCTTTGAAAAACACCAACATTGAAAGTCTTGAAAGAGGCAACTGGGAACTAACTGAACGAGTTACAGCACTAGAAAACCTTCTAAAGTAAGGAATTTTCTGGTTTGTTTTAAAACAAGTCTTTTGCCATTTGTTTGCACATAGTATGTGAACATTATACTCCTGATTAGTCACAGAATTTAAATCTAGTAGAATTTCACCTAATACTGAATCAACATTATAATAGTTAAAAAAAAAAAACCTTTTTGCTGATATGTCACATACTATAAGAATCATGCCTTTAAAGTATATAGAATGCAGTAGTTGCACAATCATCACCACTAATTTCAAAATATTTTCATCACCTTCAAATTACCAGCCACTTACCAGTTACCCCCCATTCTACTCTCCCCCAGGCCCTGAAAACCACTAATCTTTCTGTCTTATGGATTTGCCTTTTCTGGATATTTCATATGATGCAATTATAATGTATGAGGCCTGTGTCTGACATCTTTCATGTGCCAAAATGTTTCAAGGTTCATAGTTCAGTGTAGGGTAACATTAATCAGTTCTTCATTCCTTTTTATAGCTGAATAATATTCTATTATATGTATATACCACATTTGGTTTATTTATTTATGTAGGGGTCATTTGAAGCAAAAAAGTTTTTAATGAAGTTTAAAATTTTCTAGTCACTTATTTCTTTGGTGTTATATATAAGAAATCATTGATTAATCCAGGGTCACATTTACATCTATCTTCCCCCCACCGCCCCACCTTTGGAACTGGGGATTGAATTCAGTGATGCTTAACCACTAAGCAACATCCCTGGCATTTTTTCCCCCTAATTTTGAGACAGGATCTCCCTCAGTTGCTTAGGGCATCCCTAAATTGCTAAGGCTGGCTTTGAACTTGTGATCCTCCTGCCTCAACTTCCTGAGTCACTTGAATTACAGGTATGTTCCAACCTGCCTGGCTTGGCTAAGTTTTTGACTGGTATGGGAGGTGGCATCCAAATTCATTCTTTTCCCTATAGATATTCAGTTGTTCCCAGCACCATTTGTTGAAAAGATTATTTTTTCCTCCATTGAATTGTCTTGGCATCTTGAATTTTGGTAATTCTCTTGCCAAAAATCAATTGACCATAAACATATGGATTTATTTATGGATACTCAACTCTGTTCCCTAGGTCTATACATCAATCCTATGCCAGTACTACACTGTTAATTACTGTAGCTTTATAGTAAGTACATTTAAAGATCATTTCAGCTTGTCAATTACCCCCCAAAAACGTAACTTGAATTTTGACAAAGATTATGTTGAATATATATATATATATATTTTTATTTGTTCTTTTTAGATATACATGACAATAGAGTATATTTTGACATATTGTATATATATACATATATACATACATATATACATATGTATGTATATATATATATATATATACTAATATATTGATATTGTCTTCATTCCATGCACATGGGGTGTACTTCCATTTATTTGGGTCTTCTTTAATTTATTTTAACAATTTCTTTTGGCACTGGGGATTGAACTCAGGTTTGCTTTACCTCTGAGCTACATCCCCAACCTCTTTTATTTTTTATTTTGAGACACAGGGTCTTGCTAAGTGGTAAGGGTCTTGTTAAATTGCTGAGGCTGGCCGCAAACTTAATCCTCCTGCTTCAGCTTCCCAAGTAGCATGTGCCACTGCTCTTACCTTCTTTATTTGTTTTAGTGACATATTATAGTTTTCAGTTTACATGTTTTTTGCTAAACTTATTCCTAAGTATTTTTCTTATTTATGAATTATAAACGAAACTGTTCCCTTAATTTCATTTTTAGATTGATCATTTTTAGGGATTAGAAGTACAATTGATTTTTGTTGTTGTTGTTGTTGTTGTTGTTGTTGCTGGGGATAGAACCCAAGGCCTTGCACATTCGAGGCAAGCACTCTACCAACTGAGCTATCTCTCCAGCCCAACAATTTATTTTTTTTATGTCAATCTTCTGTCCTGAACCTTGTTTAACTTGTTTATTAGCTCTAATAGGTGTGTGTGTGTGTGTGTGTGTGTGTGTGAATTAAGATTTTCTCTATACAAAACTTTGTTATCTGTGAGATGGTTTTACTTTTTCCTTTCCCTTTGGTGTTTTTTTTTTTTCCTTGCCTAATTGCTTTGCCTTCCACTATTCAATACAATGTTGAATAAAAGTGGCAAGAAGTCAGCATCCTTGACTTGTTCCTGAAAGCCCAGAAGAAGGCTTTCAGTCTTTCACCAGTAATATGATGTTAGCTATGGGATTTTATAGATGCCCTAAAGTTGAGGATGTCCCTTGGATTCCTAGTTTGTTGAGTAGTTTTATCATGAAGGTGTGTTGGATTTTGTAAAATGCTTTTTTTCCGGCACCTTTTGGGATCATCATGTAGTTTTGTCCTTCATACAACTTGTTACTCGTAGACCTATGGTTACTTAGTAGGTTTATAGAGAAAGAAGGCATTTGATCATGTGTCCTTGGCTGACGGGCAGAGAAAAACATTAATTTTCAGTCCTATTATATGAATATTATTTTAAAAAGTCACACAATGATGAAAAGATGTTCTGTTCAGATATGAATACTAGTGTAGCCTGTTATTATTCAGGTTGTACTAGGCTCTACTAGCTCACCTGATAGGTTGAAGTTTCTTCTGTGTCTTGTATTTTCCAAATCACTTTTTAAAAGAAAACAGGAATGGGGGTATGTAACTCAGTGGTGGAGCACTTGCTTAGCCTGTGTGAGGACCTGTGTTCAATCCCTAGCACAAAAATAAATAAATAAATAAATAAAGGAAAAGGAAGAAGAGGAGGAGGAAGAGTGGAGGAGGAGAAGAGAATTAAAAATGTACAGGGAACTAAAATTGATAGGAAAACAAACCTTTACTTAAAGGCCTGTAAAAAGGAGAACGAGACTTCCACTTTTCTTCTGCTTATGCAAAGTGTCTAGAAAAAGAGGACTGACAAACTTTAAGTGAAAGACTGATTAAAAGCAATTCATCATTAGGTATCTACATGAAGTTGCCTGTAGGTTGATCCAACAGCTGACCAGCCATGGCAAGCTATTCAACACAACTTTGAATATTGCTATAGAATGTTATGGATTGGATATAGGTGTCCCCTCAAATCTTCTGTGTTAATGCAAAAATGCTCAGAGGAGAAATGATTGGGCTGTGAAAGCTGTTACCTAATCTGTCTATCCTAGTTTGAATAGACTGGGTGGTAACTGTAGGCAGGTGGGTGTGGCTAGAGGAAGGTGGGTCACTGAGGGGGTTCCCTGGAAAGGTGTATCTTTCCTGCAGCCCCTCCCTCCTTTCTCTCTCTCCCTCTGCTTCCCGGCCAGCCATGAGAGGAGCAGCTTTCCTCTACCACACCCTTCCACCATGATGTGCTGCCTCACCTTGGTCCCAGAGTAAAGGAGTCAGCTATCTTCGGAAAGAGACCTTGAAACTGTGAGCCCCATAGAAATTTTTCCTCCTCTAAGTTGATCTTCTCAGTTATTTTGGTCATACAACAAAAAGCTGACTAACACACAGAGCGAGTCACTATTGACTTGTTTTTTATTATCCTTAGTGCTAAAGAAAAACATGGCTGTATCTACTATTATGGTTAATTCTGTGTCAACTTGACTGGGCTATGAGGTGCCCAGTATTTGGCCAAACATTATTCTAGGTGTTTCTATGAGAGTATTTTTGGATGAGATTAACATTTAAATCGGTAGAACAAATAAAGCAGATTGTTCTTCTCATGGGTGGATCTCATCTGGCGGGTGAAAGGCCCAAATGGAGAATTTTTGCTGCTTGATGGCCTTTGAACTGGGACATCAGCTTTATTTCTGCCTTTGAACCTTAACTGAACCATTAACTCTTCCTGGCTTCAAGCCTGTGGGCCTTTGGACTGGAACTCCACCATCTGTTCCCCTGGCCTAAAGCCTTCAACATGGACTAGAACTATGCTGTTGTTTTTCCTGAGTCTCCAGCTTGCTGACTCACCTTGCAGCAGATCTTGGAAGTTGCCAGTCTCCACAACTGCATGAACCAATCTTCATAATAACTCCCTTTCTATTCATTTATAAATCCTGTTTCTCAAGAAAACCCTGATTAACATACATAACTATTTTTTAAAGGGATTTCATTATTTTATTAGTGTCTGGGGGACAGGAGGAATGGAAACAGTTCCCATGGAATGAATTTGGGAGGACATTCTGGACAAGAATTGTTCTTAAGCCGTTTCTGGTTCCCAGATCCTTTAACTATTGTCTCCTTGCATTTAGTGAATCTAGGACTAAGATTTCATGGGCTGTGAATGTAGTCAGTGGTAGAGCACTTGCCTAGCATGCATGAGTCCCTGGATTTGATCTCTAGTATCACAAGCAAAAAAAATTTAGGCCTAGCACTTTTTACTTTTATTCTACTGGTATTGAAAGAAGTATGAAAATGTCCAATTATGATTGCAGATTTGTATTTATTTCTTCCTTTTAGTATTGTCAACTTTTGCTTTATATATTTTGAAGCATCCTAAAGATATTGATATATTTCCATTTAATTGTCCACCCCGCTTTTTTTTTTTTTTCAGTGCTAGGAAATGAATCCAGGGCCTCACATATGCTAGGCAAGCACTCTACCACAGAGCTACATCCCCAGACTGTCACTTTTTATTATGAAATGACCCTCGTTATCTTTTTATGTACTTTTTCCTTTGTGTGTGTGTGTTGTTGTTGTTGTTGGAGGTCTAACCTAGGGCCTTGCACATGCTAGGCAAGCACTCTGCCATTTAGTTATACCCCAGGCCCTTCTCGCTTTAAAATCTACTTCGATATTAATAATTTTACACCAGCTTTCCTTTTGTTAATGTTAGCATAGAATGTATTTTCCCATTTTAATTTACATTTTTCTGTGTTCCTATATTTAAAGTATGTCTCTTGAAAAATGTTTAACATTGTCTTTTTAAAATTCAGTATAATAATCTTACATTTTAATCAAATGTTTATAACATTTGTCTCTAAAGTAATTACTGAAATTGTTGGATTTCAGCCAGTCATATTGTTATTTTATATTTTCCCCATCTGTTTCTGTACCTTTATTAATCCTTTATTGCTTTATTTATTTATTTATTTGGTACCAGCGATTGAACTCAGGGGCACTCAGCTACTGAGCCACATCTCCAGCCCTATTTTGTATTTTATTTAGAGACAGGGTCTCACTGAGTTGCTTAGTACCTCGCTGTTGCTGAGGCTGGTTTTGAACTCATGATCTTCCTGCCTCAGGCTCCTAAGCCAAGGGGGATTACAGGCGTGAGTCACCACACCAATCTCTGTTTTATTTTTGATTCATAAGTTTTTATTTCATTTTCTTCTGTATTGAGCTTTTAATACTTTTTTAAAATATCACAGTTTTCACCCTAAATTTAGTGATTACAAAATATATATTTGATTTATTAGTTTCCTTTAAATTAGTACTTTTACAATACCCCCTCAAATAAAGTATTTATGACAGTTTAACTCCATTTACCCATTTCTTGCTTTTGTCGTATTGTTATATTTTACTTTTCCACATGGTAAATAATATATTATTGTTTTTTTTAAACCATCAGTTTTTTTTTTTCTGTAAGTATTTTATTTATCACTGAAGAAAAAACACAGCAGCAAGTTCTGTGTTGGCTTTAGTAAGACCAAACAGTTAATCTTTAACATAGCTACTACACTCCAAAAATTGAAGTCAACACAGTCATTACCACAAATTACTTGTTGAAAGAATCTATTCTGAAGAGAAAGGAAATTAGGAAAAAGAATTTAAAGAATTCCTCCAAATCACACATTTATAAATATTATCATATTTAAAATGCTTGAAAGGCATGAAGTCTCCATTAATGGAAAAGCATTTTGCTATTGGCAACAGAAAAAAAACAGTGATAGTTTACCAAATGCTTTAAAATTTAAAAGCTGTACTGTTTTGGGTTTGCACTTGAACAGTATTGTCATTACAATAATGACTGCAAATTGCTTTATACTCACCTCTTCTTAAGTAAAATCTACAGAAAATCCCACTGTATCCAATGTCTGTAATATTTACTGCACTTAGAGTGAACCTAAAAACTTCCTAAATTTAGTTAATAGTAAATACCTCAAAATACCTAAAGAGGTAGGTTTCAACTGCTAATGGTGTGAAAATTGTTTCAGATTCACTGGTTTAAAGGGTCTTCGAATACATTTTAACAGAAGCTTAACACCTCATTCCAAATTAATATCAGATATTTCAAAATCAAACAAATATCAGTTCTATACCAAGATACAGGTGTTACTCCATACCCGACGGGTTTAACCATCAGTTTTAATTTTTGTCTATGCACACATTCCCTTTCTGATGTTCTTCATTCTATTCCACAGTTCTGTGCAAGCATCAGGGATCATTTTCATTCATCTTGAAAAATTGCCTGTCATATTTCTTATAGAGTGATTCTGACATTTTTCCATTTTATCCCCTCTGAAACTGTTTATTTTATCTTCAATTTTTTAAGTACCTTTAGTTTATTTTTTTATGTGCTGCTGAGGATCGAACCCAGTGCCTCACATGTGCAAGGCAAGTGCTCTACCACTAAGCCCCAGCCCCAGCCCCTCATCTTCAATTTTGAAGAGTAATTTCACTGAGTATAGATTTTTGTGTTGTCTGTACTTTCCTTTCAGCCGCTTAAGATGTTATTCAGTTATCTTTTGGTATTATAATTTCTGTTGAAAAACCAGTCATCAGTCTTACTTTTGTATCTTTGAAAGTAATGTGTGGTTTTCCTCTAGCTGCTTTTAATTGTTAGCAATTGACTACATGGGATTCACAGAGCTTATTGAATCTGCCAATTCATGTCTTTCATTGGGTTTAGAAAATTCTTGGGAATTAGTTTTCCAGATATTGATTCTATTCCATTCTGTCTCTACTTTCATTCTAGGGCTGAAGTTACAGGTTTGTTAAACATTTTCAGTGTGTCCTGCATGTTAATAATATCATTTTTTGAATTAAAATTTTCTCTTTTGATAATTTGAATACTTTCTTTTGGCTGAGTGACTTAAATTTGTTAATTCTGGGGGGTGCAATTCTTAGAAGAGTCACCTAAAAAATATGGAAGATAGATTGATTGAACTCAGGGGCACTCAACCACTGAGCCATATGCCCAGCCCTATTTTGTATTTTATTTAGATACAGGGTTTCATTGAATTGCTTAGCACCTTGCTATTTTTTGCTAAGGCTGGCTTTGAACTCTCGATCCTTCTGCCTCAGCCTCCAGAGCCACTGGGATTACAGGCGTGCACCACCACACCCTGCTAACCTAGTTTTAGGATAGAAAATATTACCAATATGTGCAATTGGTAATCAAAGAAGTACCAAATTATTAGCTGCTTATATCAAATAACATGATTTAACAAGTTTTTACATATGCTATTCTTTGTTGTGCATTATTATTTCTTTTTTTTTATATTTATTTTTTAGTTTTCAGCAGACGCAACATCTTTGTATGTGGTGCTGAGGATCAAACCTGGGCCGCACACATGCCAGGCAAGCGTGCTACCGCTTGAGCCACATCGCCAGCCCATGCATCATTATTTCTAATTCCTTATTTCCTCATCAAACTCCAATTGAAGTCCCACTTAGGGATTGTTAAAATAAGAATGTTTATCCATATGGATCCTCTGGATGATCACAGTATTTCCACAGTGGCATATATTCATATCTAAATTTCACCTCAAGAGGATTGTTTCACAATGATGTCCCCTAGGGGAATTACACAAGGATTAACACTGGCTTGTTTTTCTTTCCATTTCTCTACCATTTCTAATCTCTTCCTAGAAATACTTAGATAACTGCCTAGCTCTTTTCATAAGAAATATGTTTTTACTTGATACACTTTTAAATTTATTTTGAATGGAGGCATTTAAAAGTTATTTTTAATTAATTGAAAATTAGTTGAGTTGGTTTTACAATATTGTTATCTACTTTTATCTTACACAGAGTACATCTGGTTGAAAGAGAAAAAGCAGAGCGAAAAGCTGATCTTTTGGAGAAAATGTTGTCAGGCACTAGCAGATTCCCTTCTTATATGACTATGAAAGGACAAGAAAATTTATTGGATGTTTTCCCAGTGAAGGTGAGAACAAATTCCAATTAATCTCTGAAGAAACAGAATTTTTATTACCTATTGTTACTCCAGAAGATAATGGGTAGAGTTGAGTAACTTATTGGTTAGTTCTGTCTCTCTCTCTCTCTCTATTGGGGATTGAACCCAGGAGGGTTTTACCACTGAGTTACATCCTTTTTTGTTTTGAGACAAGTTCTCACTAAGTTGCTGAGACTGGCCTCAAACTTGTGATCCTCCTGCCTCAGCCTCCCCAGTCACTAGGATTATAGGCATGCACTCCCACACTCAGCTGCCCTCTTCTTAATGGAAGATGAAAAGAAGGAGGAGAGTGTGGCAGGCTGGAGGCTGTTCTGATACATGGAAAGAATATGCAAGAAGGATCTGAAAATCTCTCTGATTCTAAAGAAAAGGTTAGCGGAAATGGGGCTGTGAGATAACTGGGAAAGAGGTGATGGTGAGAGTGAAATATCGGATTTGTTTGCGTGTTTGTTTTTGCAGTGCTTGGAATCAAACCTAGGGTCTCACACATGCTAGGCAAGTGCTCTACCACTGGGCTGTACTCCTAGCCCCCAAAATATTGGAGTTTAAATTTCTGGTATGGATTAGTACCTGCGGTTGACAAAATCTGGGTTAGTGCATCTGAGTGTAGGTGGTTGAAGAGGAGAATAGAAGTGAAGGTCACTGGGGCACAGGAATCATGAAGCTAAATTGGTGGGTCATCTCCATTGGTCATTGACATCTAGAATGATGATGTAAGTTGGGTTTAGAGGAAGGAAGTGAGCCTGGGCTTTAGGTAGACAAGTGATTGATAGGATGAGTTGAAGGTATTATAGAAGTCTGAAGGAAAAGAAGGGGAGCCAGATGTTGTCCAGGAAGTGGTGAAAGTTTATTGTGAAATCCTTAGTTTATTATATAATGTGAATCTAGAACCAGGCATGGTGGCACACACCTTAACCTCCCCCACAGTTACTCAGGAGGCTGAGACAGAAGGATCCCAACTTTGAGGTCAGCCTCAGTAACTTGATGAAACTCTGTCTCAAAATAAAAAATAAAAAGGGCTAGAGATGTAGCTCAGTGTAAAGTGCCCCTGGGTTCTCTATCTAGTAGCAAATAAATAAATTAAAATGTTTAAATCTGAATGTAAGATAAGATCCTATACGATCTGATTAATGGGAGGAGTTTCATTAAAAAAAATTCAGCAACTACTTTCAAAGTATTTTGAAGTATTCTTTATTTGCCCCTCTCAAGTAATTTAGAATTCACAGTCTCTCTCTCTCTCTCTCTCTCTCTCTCTCTCTCTCTCTCTCAAGTATTGTTGTAAAACTCACACATTTCTGAAAAACTCTCACAGAGTCAAAGTTCATGCAGTTCTGACCTTTTCTTCCCTTAGTCTTTATTCCTGTGGCTGTTTCTTCCTAAGCTTTTAGTGATACAAACCCACCATTACTTCCACAATTCTTGCTCTTCTTGAATTTCTCAGTTTCATAATAAAAAGCCCAGAAACTGAACTTGCTTACTTAGCTCCCCGAACCAAAAGGTGACAGGAAGGTGGGAAGAAAGTCTTGTTGAAGTTATAAGGTGGAATTCTGCTGTGGGAAGTAAGGGAAAGAGGTACATGCATTATCTGTAATTTTTTTTTCCTGTCATGTTTACAATGGAAGCAGAATGACTACAGGAGCATAAAGGAAAGGTTAGGGAAAAGAAATACGACTTTCATTTATACTCTCATGTTATCAAGGTTGTTTTTATTAAATTATATATGATAATCATAACTCTTTAGGAAAATATTCAATTCTCTGCCAATTTTTCACTAATGGTCTTAGCATTCATTGATGATTTAAAAAAAATTTTAGTTGTAGATGGGCACAATACCTTTATTTTATTTATTTTCATATGGTGCTGAAGATAGAACCCAATGCCTCATACTTGTGAGGCAAGCACTCTGCCACTGAGCCACAATCCCAGCCCATCACTGCTGATTCTTGCTTAGATCAGTTATTACATTAGGAGTTACAAAATGATGATGATGATTTTTTTTTACATTCCTTCTACACTTTTTAGCTCAATTTTTTCTACCTTCATCAACTGGGGATTTTTGGTTAGCTGCTTCTTTAAGCTTAATTTCTACTTTTGCTGTTCCCATTTGTTATTTTGAATATATGCCCAAGTTTCTCTTGTGAATCTTAATTCTTTCTCTTGAGGGTCTCCTGAAGTTTTGTGCTACTACTATATTTTGTAGTTCAAAAGAAGGAAAATAGAAGTCTCTGTATTTAATTTCAAGTGAGAAGTTTAACTTGTGTGCATATTTAGGACAAGACAGAAGCTTTCATGGCCAACAACTTTGAGAGAGACATTTTTCATACTGAAGAACCAAATCACAAGCAGAAAATTTGGGATGGATGTCAACAAGATTTGATACAAAAGGATAAACAAGCACCAGAGTTAGACAGACAGCCATATTCATGCGGATGGGAAACTGAAACCGAACAATCTCAATATCAGAATTTCCTCAGTCAATTGTCTACTCTTGTGAGTGATAGCATTGTTCCCATACCAGCCACAGAGGAAGCTGTGACAGAAAGGATACTGGAAATCAGTGAAAATGAACTCTCTTGGAAATCTGTAAGTACATCAAAAAAAAGTTATTTTTTCCTATTTGATTCTTTTAAGATATAGACTTTGCTATTATCTAATTTAGTATACTGTATGGCTCTGACTTGTAATTTTGATTGTATTTCCATAGTGAAAGAAGAGAAATAGGTCATCTTACGACACTGGAAAAAGTATAGCATAGTCACTAAGAGCACAGAGGCCTGCTATGAATCCCAGCTCTGCCCTTAGCTAGCTGTGTGATCCTGGGCAGATTACTTATTCTCTCTGTGCCTCCATTTCATCTGTAAAATGGTGGAGAGGGGTATAGTTCCTATCTCACAGAGTGGTTGAAAGGATTGAATTGGTTAATAAATGGTAAATGCTTAGTACAGTTTGGTATAAGTTCAATAAATATTAACTTAAAAATATTGCTATGGGAAGATAGTATTTTCATAATGCTCCAACACTGGTTAGTTTAGTTGGTGCAGTTAAACAACTTTTCAGGTCTGGGGTGTAGCTTACTGGTAGAGCATGTGCTTAGCATGAATGAGGCCCTTGGCTCTGTCCCAGTATCAAAAACACATTCATAAATAAATTTCAGATCAGTTAGTTTAATTTACTGGTCAAGTCTATCAAAAGACTGAATCAACATGTTCATGTGGATATATCTTCTTGTCCGTGTCCAAATCATTTTAGTAAAATTTTGTGATTCCTCACCCTGGAATTCAGCTGATGATAAGTATTTCTTAAATTCAATGTGTTAGTGAAACCTACTGCACAATAATCTGTGTTCCAATTTTGGGTTTTTGGGGGTGGGGGCAGGGACAGTGGCAGTGCTGAGGATTAAACTCAGGGCGTTGTGCATGCTAGGCAAGCACTCTACCACTGAATTATATTCCAACCCCATCCATTTTAAAAAAAACAAAACCAAAAAACTCTGCACACTTAAAATTCACTATACAACTTCCTCAGTACTAAAAATCTCTTAAAAGTATCTCTTAAAAGGCTTCCCTATTCATCTATTTTGTAATTTAATGTCATCACAAAATCAATATAATTAGAACATACAGTTTTGAAATGATGCAGAAAGCATGGATCATCAGGAAGTTTTTGAAAAATATCTCCTTTTTTAAAAAGAGAACAGAAGGCCTACAGCAGGAAATTCAGATGCTCACTAAGCAATTGGAACAGCTGCATCAGATTTACGAAGAAACTGCTCAAGAATCACCTCAGGGTGGAGAAAATTATAGGGAACAAAAAAAACCCTTGAAACGTCTAGATGGAAACATTGGTATCAATGACTTTTTTCAAAGGAAATCAGACTTGGACAGGAATAAAGTAAGAATATACTGAAGCACAGGCATTTCTTTGATAAAGGAAATGATCATATTTTATTTTATTAATGACCTTAACATTATTTAATGTTTAAAGCTATTCATACTATATATACTTCTCCTAATGGAAAAGGGGAGGATTTGCTATAGATCCTTGAAGTTTCTGATTTTATCAAAAAGCCTCTCCTCTTTCCATATCTCCATTTCCTTACTGTGCACATATTTGATGTTTATTATGACAGATATGTTAATAAATATCTTAATACACTTTTAGAAGAGAATTAGAAGGAAAGGAATGCCAAGGAATGATTCTCTAATGGTGGAATTTCAGGCACTGTGACAGCTAAATATGATGAGTGTCAGTGAGGTGCATTGATGATATTCCTTGAATAATCACTGTATAAACTGTTATCTTCTCCAATTTCTGCTTCCCTGAATGTATAAGGAAAAAGGCAGTCCTAAAAGTGGGATGGAAACGAGTAGGTTGCAATTCAATTTGTTTTCAGGAAGTCCTGTTTCTATTTTGCTACCTCTTCACTGAATTACCTGTCGAACCTTAACCTATTTTATACTATTTCTATAATTGCTGTGGCTCAAGGTGTAATATCACTCACTTATTTACTAATGACTCAGTTGGCCTTTCAGCCCATTCATGCATCCAATATACATATATATATATATATATATATATATGCACACATATGTACATTTTTTTTAATTTTTAAATTTTTGTGGTGCTGAGGATTGAACCAAGGCCCTCAAGTACGCTAAGTAAGCACTCTATCACTGAGCTATATCCTCAGCTCCAATCCAATATTTATGGAACTCTTTTTTTTTTTTTTTTGCAGTGCTGGATGGTAGGCAAGCATTCTACCATTGAGCTATACCTCTGGCTGGAGCTCTAAGTTTTTCTTCCAGCACTTTAGGAAATGGTGTTTTAAAAAAAATACCCATAAACCAATACAGTGGTACATACCTATAATCCCATCTGTGTGCAACTTTACCTCTAAAGAAGCTGAGGCTGGAGAATTGCAAATTGAAACTAGCTTCAGCAATTTAGCAAGACCCTATCTTAGGGAAAAAAAAGACAAAACAAAAACCAAAATAAAAAAACTGGGGATACAGCTCAATGGCAAACTACATCTGGATTGAAACCCAGTACCAGGGGAAAAAAGACATATTCCATAGAATTCAAAGATGAGTGCAGCTTCTATCTCTGCTCTTACATATGTGACTGATAATGATTCATTTCCACACAAAATTATTTTAAATGCTATATTGAAATTTAAGAATATGCAATCCAGGAGTAGTTGCACGTGCCTGGAATCCTAGCTACTCAGGATGCTGAGGCAGAAGGATCGCAAGTTCAAGGGCCAGCCTCATCAACTTAGTGAGACCCTGTCTCAAATAAAAAATGAAAAGGCTAGGGATATAGCTTAATGATAGGGTACCCTAGGTTTCAATTCCCAGTAAAGTGTGTGTGGGGGAAGCTAATAACATGATTTCCACAACCCTTTTAATCATGTTAAAAGATTTTAAGAAAAAAAATAATAATTTTTCAGCCCTCTTTCTTCCTCTTTCTTGTCAGTAACCAATTGTATATACAAGCATTCTTTGTATTAACCAAGAATAAATTGTACCAGAAACATAAAGGACTTATATGAAGAACATTGCAAAATCCTAATGGGGAATATGAAATAAGATCTGCAAATGAAACATACCAAATTATCAAACAATGTCAATCACCAAAATTATAAATATGTAGATTATTAATATCTGAAAAAGTGACCCATCAGTATATTAATATTTATTTATTTATGGGTACTAGAAATTGAACCCAAGATGCTTTACCACTGAGTCACTTCCTCAGACCTTTCATTTCTCTGGTTGTACATGATGTAGAGTCAGTCGCACCATTTGTGCAATCATACATTTACCTAGGGTAATGAGTCTGTTTCATTCCACTCTCTAACCTACCCCCATGCCCCTTCCCCTCCTCCTCTCCCCTTTACCCAATCCAAAGTGCCTCCATTTTTCCCATTCTCCCTCCCCCCATTAAGGATCAGCATCCACTTATCAGAACATTTGGCCTTTGGTTTTTGGGGATTGGTTTACTTTGCTTGGCATGATGATGTTCTCCAACTCTATCCATTTACCTGCAAATGCCATAATTTTATTCTCTTTTAATGCTGAGTAATATTCCCTTGTGTACATATACCACAGTTTCTTTATCCATTCATCTTTTGAAGGGCATCTAGGTTGGTTCCACAGTTTAGCTATTGTGAATTGAGCCTCTAAAAACATTGATGTGGCTGTGTCATTATAGTATGCTGATTTTAAGTCCTTTGGGTATAGACCAAGGAAGGAGTGGGATGACTGGGTCAAATGGTGGTTTCATTATAGGTTTTCTTTTTTTTAATATTTATTTTTTACTTTTACTTATACAATATCTTTAATTTTTATATTTATGTGTTGCTGAGGATCGAACCCAGTGCCTCACACATGCTAGGCGAGCACTCTGCCACTAAGCCACAACTCCAAACCTCATTCTAGGTTTTCTAAGGAATCTCCATACTACTTTCCAGAGTGGTTACACCAATTTGCAGTGCCACCAGCAATGTATGAGTGTGCCTTTCCCCTCACATCCTCACCAACATTTATTGTTGAGTGTATTCTTGATAATTGCCATTCTGACTGGAATGAGATGAAATCTTACAGTAGTTTTGATATGCATTTCTCTAATTGCTAGAGATGTTGAACACTTTTCATATATTTGTTGATTGTTTTTATATCTTCTGAGAAGTGTCTGCTCAGTTCCTTAATCCAGTTATTGATTGGGTTGGTTTTGGGGTATTAAGGTTTTGGAGTTTTTCATATATCCTGCAGATTAGTGCTCTATCTGATGTGCATGTAATAGAGATGTTCTCCCACTCTGTGGGCTCTCTCTTCACGTTATTGATAGTTTCCTTTGCTGAGAAGAAGCTTTTTAGTTTGAATCCATCTCATTTGTTGTTCTTTTAAACGTGTTCTGTGGAATTAATTCTTCATCTGCCATTAAGTGAAATGTAGGGCAAGGCTGTGTTTTTTTGTTTTTTGGGTTTTTTTTAGTCCATACATTTTTAATAACAGGATTTCTCCTGGGGATATTTAAACAGACTATAAAAAGTACATAGAAAATTTTACTCTTTAGTATGCTTAACTCCTCTTTTGACCAAAATACAGTACAAGAATTCCAGACTTGCCTGGAGACAAGATAGAACAAGGGCTGTTTTTATTTTTAACTCTTTTGATTGTTGCTTCTGGTAGTACCTTCATTTCCCTAAATAATTTTATACTACTACATCTTGAATTTTCTATTTCAGACATTATCTGTTGATTTCATATTAAAGTTTTATCTCTCTTATACCACTTTCCCATTTAGCTATTTCCCAAATATAGTTGATATACTGATATTTGGGGAGAGATCCATAATCAATATTTACTTCACTATGACAACTAAATATTTACAAAAGTTACAAAGTACTATGTTCTTGTTACATGTCCTTTCTTGCATTGCACTTTTCCTTAGAGTGAATATACCTTCCTTGTGTTTTCATATGTGTAATTTTCAACATTCATTTGTTTTTCCCTTAAATATTATAACAAATGATCCACTAGTCTATAAAAATATGATATTTTTCCCTCTCTCTCAAAATTTTCATTTTCTTCCTTAAGACTGGGGATCTTGATTTTTACTCTATGGGTCTGGACCCAGCTGTGATCCTGTGACTTTTCTTCTCTAATCTCTGAATCTCATATCTTCTTCTTCTTCTTCTTCTTCTTCTTCTTCTTCTTCTTTTCTTCTTTTTTTTTTTTTTTTGGTTTACTTTCTCATTTTGCTTGGATACATCCTCCAAGAACTTCCTAAGAAATGATACCATGGGAAAGATACTTTTTCTTTGAGTACTTGCATAAATAAAAAGGTCTTTAAAAAAAATCTTCACATTTGATTGATAATTGAGTTCACACAGAGATTAGAAAACATTAATTCTTCTAATTATCTTTGGGGCTCCAGTGTTGTTATTGAGAAAAATGTGCCATTCTTATTTTTGTTATCCAGTGTTATCTATTTTGTTTCTTTGAATGTTTTAATACATTTGCTACATTTGTCAAGATATTTTAAATAACTATTTTTTTTCTCATAATAAAATTAATTCATGTGCATTATAAAGATTTATAAAGCACAGAATAGGAAAAGAATAAGACCAAAATCACCAGTAATTCCACCATTTGGAAATAACTGGTGTTATCATATATCATATTATAATGTTTTCTTTTGATTACTTTCCATACATATTATTTTTGTCTGGTTTGTTTGTTTGGTACTGGGAAGTGAACCCAGGGGTATTTTGCCACTGAGCCACATTCCCAGCCATTTTTATTTTTTATTTAGAGACAGTGTCTCACTAAGTTACTCAGGGCCTCACTAAGTTGCTAAGGTTGGCTTTGAACTTGCAATCTCCTGTTTCAATCTTCTGAGTCACTGGACTCACAGGAGTGTGTCACCATGCCTGGCTCTTCATGCATTTTTTAAAAAATATTTTCTTAGTTTTAGATGGACACAATAACTTTATTTATTTTTATGTGGTATTGAGGATCAAACCCAGTGCCCCACACATGAGAGGTAAGCGCTCTATTTCTGAGCTACAGCCCCAGCTCCTCAGTGCATATTTTTAACAATTGAGATAAGCATAGTTTTTCTTAATCCTGTTTCTTTCATTTAACTATATATTATTATTTTCTTTTAATAAATATTTTTAAACAATTTCTAGGGAATGTATTATTACCATATGTAATTTTCCTGACATTTGTATTTCTTTTATTTTTCATTATGAATAGAGTAGTAAAGAATATCTCTGTACATGAATCTTTATACAAATACTCATTATTTTCTTAGAATACATTCCTAGAAAAGAAGAATTAATCTACACTATTGCTAAGTATTTACAAATTGTCTGTTTAACTGTTACCCTTGATAGCAATAGACATCACTTTTATTGTAGCATTTTTGTCTCCCGATTATCTTAATAATGTGTATTTATGTTGAAAAGATATTTTACTTATGTAAATATTGTTAAGCCTACAGTTTATTGTTCTAGAATAGATTGGTATCATGCTAGTATAGAACATTTTAAAGCCAATTATTTATTTCAATACTGTTAATTTCTGCAAAGGAAAACTTCAGAACTCCGAATTCTCAAGTAGATAAGCATAACAAGAAGTTCAAACAATTAGAAATGTTGTTGAATATTCAGCAAAATTTACAGATTATTACAACGCCAATATTGGAGGAGAAAATTCAGAAACTTCAGAAACAGCTCAGTGATTTGAAATTATCAAATAAAAATATGAAAACTCAACTGACAAAAATAAATGTCCTTAAAGTAAGTAAAGGAAATGAAGTTTTCAAAAATTCATAAAAGTTTTGGTCCATTCCTATTTAACTGCATTAGCTCTTATTGAACTTTTTAAAGAACAAATAAATTAAAATAATTTTATATACAAACAGAATAATATGTAACATTAATATATAATATGTTATTCTATAATATGTATTACTATAGGAAAATAAAATTGGATGCCTGTGAATCCATCAATCATTTTAGAAAACAGAATGTTACCAATCCCACTGAAACCCCCAGGTATCCTCCTCCCTGTTTCTCAAAGGTAACTGGTAGTCTGAATGTTATGATTTTAAATCCCTTGCTTCTTTTCGTTTTAGTTTTATTGTAGTTTCTTATTGGGTTAATGGATATTTTTTTTCTCTTCTTTGGAGCTAGATTCAGTTTTCCTATATCAAAAGTAGATTGTGAGTTAAGCCAAATACACACTAAATAATTGATCAACTGATATGCTATTTTATCACCAATATTTTTCTTACTGTAGAACCAATTATTTTATCCATTTCTGTATTTGTTTAATGTAGGCTGTAAGACCTTTAAGGACATGGAAAATGTGTTAAGCTTCTTTAAATCCATGAATTCAGTTTATATAAATGCTAAATGATTATGAATGGTAGAAATGCCTCTTAATTGAAAAATTGTGGACTATTTCTCTTTTCCATATGTGGTCATCAACTTTTCATTGCTGTGACAAAATACCAGAGATAATCAACTTTAAAAAAAGAGAAAAAGATTTATTTTGGCTCATGATTTCAGAGGTTTCAATCCAGGATCACTTGGCTCTATTGTTTTTGGATATGTGATGAGACACCCTTCAACACATGAGATTTTGGAGGAAATTTCAGATCTAAGTCATAATCATACCTCTTTTCAAAGAGAGATGGGGAAAAAAAAAAAAACACGAGTTATCAAGCCTGTCTGTTTTTTATAGGAGATCAACTCACAGTCGTCTCCTCTCTTTCATCCACATTTTACCCTCTCATAGGACAAAACAATTATGAAGCTCAGGCAATCTTTAACAAAAGTTGAAACAATGAAGGAGAAGGTAGTTATGAATATAGATGATTTGAAAACTACATCCGACTCTGCAGAGCAAGAGGCAAGATCAGACAAAGAGAAGGCCCGTCAGATGTTAGACACTGTCACTCCTGAGCTCTCCATAGCCAAGAACACGCTTGAAGTGTCAGGACAAGAACAAGAGGTTTTTTATCTTATTACTATATTAAAGTTAATTTAGTTGGAATGATAAACACACCCACCTCAACTTACATTAACTAACTTAGACAAAACAGAATTTATTGACTTATGGTATCAAAAACAGGTTAAACTAATCTCTGTGAAGTCAGAGATGAACCTAGGCCCTAGGACTAGCACCGGGCACTTTATAGGACCTTTTTCACTGACTTCTTGGCATCTGTGTGACAGTTTGTCTGACTACCAGTGTTTTTTTTTTTTTCCTATGACAGGAAACATGGTCAATGACAGCCATGGAGTTTCATATTTAGTTCTTGTGATGGGAGAGAAAAATTCCAGAAGGGATCTTATTGGGCCAGTTTAAATCAAGTATTTCTCCCTGGAGAATCCCACAATGGCTTAGGAATGGGATATGTGATTATTTTAGTTTGGAGGATAGGGTCATGTTAGAGAATGGAAGCTCAGAGGAAACCATGTATGTTATTGTTTGTGTCACATTCTAGAATAAAATGACACTTCTAAACTTGCTTAGATTTTTCACTATACTTATAAAGCAAATTTGTTTCCTTTTCTCTTCCTTCCTTTTTTTTTTTTTTCTTTTTCTTGTTCCTTTTCTTTTCAGTGCTTGGGATCCAATCCCAGGGCTTCACTACAAGGCAAATATTTTAACAGACTTTTTAAAAGGCTAACTGATCATTCTGGGCCACTCTTAAAGTATATGTCACATCTCCATATTAGTTGCTTAAAAAATTTGAAACTTTTCCAAATTCTTGATGATATGCTCAAAGCAGACTCAGGAGGCTGGGACAGGAGGATCACAAGTTCAAAGCCAGCCTTGGAAACTTAGCAAGGCCCTAACCAACTTACTGAGACCCTGTTTTGATTGAAAAACAAAACAAAAATACCAAAGTCATAAGATTAGTGTTTTCTCCTTTCTCTCTCTCTGCATCTTTGTCTCTTTCCCTCTATTTTCTGCATATTCATTTTCTTTTTTTATTTTTTTTTTAGTTGTAGTTGGACACAATACCTTTATTCTATTCATTTATTTTTATGTGGTGCTGAGGATCAAACCCAGGGCCCCGCGCATGCCAGGCGAGTGCTCTACTGCTGAGCCACAATTCCAGCCCCTACATATTCATTTTCTATGTTGTTTTTATCTCTCTTTTCAATGCCCCTTATATTTTCAGTAAAGTCTATTCCCCTTTGGTCACTTTTTTTTTTTTTTAAATGTGCCAGGGATTGAACCCAGTGCCTCACCACATGCTAGGCAAGTGCTCTACCACCGAGCCACAACCCTGGTCCTCCTTTGGTCACTTTGTAGTTCACGCCTCATTTCTGAAAAGATTTTCTGTTATTCTTGCCTGATTTCAATGATCATATCTTCTGTATTCATTAGACATCTTGGACATGGTTTTATTCTGAATTATTAAATGTATAATTCAAAGAAAGGTGTTGTTGTTGTTTTCCATGTCTGCAAATCCTCATTTAATTAAGATTTAATTCACTTCAGGGTTTTGTGTCAAACATGTTTCCTGTGCTTTGTGACTGGTTTTTTTTTTTTTTTTTTCCGGGGTGGGGGGCATATTTTCATCACCTAAACAGTTTTGATAATACTGCTTATTCTTAAAGCAATTATTTTTGAGGGAGAACTGAGGATTGAACCCAAGGGAGCTTTACTACTGAGCTACATCCCCAGGCCTTTTTATTTTGAGACAGGTTCTTACTAAGTTGCTGAGGCTGGCCTGAAACTTGGAATTCCTCCTATCCTCAGCCTACCAAGTTGCTGGGATTATAGGCGTGTGCCACTCCACCTGACTCTTCCTAAAGCAATTCTCTATGGATATTAATTTGCCATTTATCTGTTGAATTTGAAATCCTTTTAATTGTCCTGGTTTTCATGTTTCTTCTTTAGTAGCTGTAGGTTGGGTTTACTTACTAGGTTTCTTAACTCAACACCGCCCTCTTTTGTTGAGGTGGTAGATGCAGTTTTTGAAGTTCACTAGAACAAGCCTTTTATTTTGGGGGTAGGAATTTGTGTAATGTATGATTCTGCCATACTCTCCTGTTTGTATATGTCTTTTAATTTCATTGTTTACTTCTTCCTTTTCCTTTATTACCAAGCCACTAAGAAACACTTCACCCTTCCAAACTCTCCAACCTCCCCTTGCCCTCTAGAACTGCCATTTCTGGTCTTTATGCTTTCAGGCCTCTTTCTTTTCCTTCCTCACTATCAGGTTTCAGATTTATTCTCTGTATTTCCCTATTTGAGAACTATCCCATTTCCTGGGGGTAAGGCTATCTGTGTTCTACAACAGTGGAAACGAGTAGCACCCTCCTCTGGAGCTGCCCCTACTAGTTTAGGATATTCATTTCCACTCAATGCAGATTGAAGGCTGTGATATTCTTTAGTTGTTTTAAGCATGGATTTATGGGTGATTTTTCTTTTAGTTTTAGGTGGACACAATATCTTTATTTTATTTTTTGTGTGGTACTGCTGAGAATTGAACCCAGTGCCTCACACATGCTAGGCGAGCGTGCTACCACTTGAGCCACATCCCTAGCCCCTTATGGGTGGTTTTTATTTGTGCTCTTTCTAGATCACTGTGGCTTTTGGAGGATGGATGGATATATATTTAAGGGACTTCTATTATCATAAAGCACACCAGAAGTCTAAAAAGTGTGGTTGTGCATATGTTGTCCCAGTTCCGTAAGAGGCTGAGGCTGGAGGATCACTTGAGCCCAAGGGTTGGAGGCCAGCCTGGGCAACATAGTAAAATCCCCATCTCAAACAACAGCAGCAACAAAATTTAATTGCCTTATGGGTGAAAAACATTAAGATGTAAAAAAAAATAGGTCTAATCTACTAAAGTGTAAACATAAGAAAAATATAAAGGAAATTTTAAAGAATTATTGGAATAGAAGAGACTAATTTTCTAGCTTAAAAATACCATTTGAATGTAGCATATATTACATTTAAAAAGAAAAGCTGAATAAGACCAAATTTCTAATATTAATTTCATTGTGCAAAATAAATTGGTGACTGAAACTAATGACATATCTTGATTTTTGTGGGTGGTTCTTTATAGCTTGGTGACTTTCGAGAAACTATTTTGAAGATGTTGGGATTTGACATGAAAACAGCAGACAAAGAAATCATCAATCAGTTAAAGCTTATTATACAAGTTTATGAAATATCTAACAAATCAAAGATTGCTTCTGATTGTGAGACTGGACAAGATAATGAATAAACAAGTTCTGCCTTTTAATTGCTGCCAAGAACTGAGCAGATATAGCTGTTTCCTACGGCATCTTGAATATGCTGTATCATGAATAAAATGCAGTGGAAAAATTTTACTTAAGTCTCTTCTCTCCTGTGATGTTTGGCACTTAACATGTCTTTGTAAATAATCTTGTTCAATACCTTTATTATAGTCTAGTTTGGATTGCTACTTTGTAATACATAACAATTATCTAATGACCTTTAATCACTAGCTGTATTTTTAGCAGAATGTGAATCAGAAACTTGTATTCTTAGTTGAAATATTTATATTCATAGTTAATAGTCTGTTTCTAGAATGAACCAGTTATTGGGTTAAAAAAATCCCCTTTAAGAGGGGCTGTGGCTGTAGCTAAGTGGTATAGTGATTGCCTTGCATGTGTGAGGCACTAGGTTCGATCCTCAGCACCACTTAAAAATAAGTAAATAAAGTATTGTGTCCATCTACAACTAAAAATAAAATCCCCCTTAAGAATCCAGGTAAAGTTAAATTCTGTAATTTGAATCTATCTTATACATTTTATTAACAGAGTATGAATAGCAAATATGAAATGTTGAGGGGTAGGAAGGTCTTTGACAATTCTTGTCAGGCAACAGACTACATTGTTTTTTATTTTCCTAACATTTAATAGTGTCTGTCAGTGTTTCCCTAATGGTAGGTTGATTTCTAAGTTTATGGGCTTTTTAAAAATAGTATAATTTCTAATATATTTCATTTAAAGTAGGAAATTGTTCATCTTCCAAGGTGGTCTTAGATTTACCCAATATGTCCTCTGTGGGAACAGGTCAGAATCTGAACAAGCATGTGGGATTCAATGTCTGTTGTGGTCACTGCAAAGGGTCTCCTGTTTGGCTTAGTTTTGGAGGGCTCCTTAGCATGGGAGGGATCAGGTTATATTGGACCTTACAGAAGTAGCACTTTGGAAGAAAATGATTATATAAAATACCCATTTAAAAAAAAATACCCATTTAAGGAAAAATGAGAATCACCTTCTAAATTGTCATAGTTGTGACTCTCAAACTGTATGCCAGGGAATCTTGATATACTTCAAGAATTACAGGATTTTAAGCAGAATGTGAATCAGAAACTTGTATTCTTAGTTGAAATATTTCAAAATTTAAGGGGAAACAGTGATATTTGACATCTATCAGGAAAGTACATGAGTACTAGCTTCAAGTAGTTTATAATTTCAACAGTTGATCACTTTGTTTCTTTTGTTAACATCTTTGTGATAAAAACTGCCCAGAACTTTTGTAAATTTACTGCCAAGTGAGGCCCATCAGTTGGTGTCCTTACCAAGGAAGCTGATGTGCAAACCTGAGGAATAAGGCACTCTTTCCCTGGACTTTAGGATACATGGCTGGGACATAAAAAAAACTTGCTTATCCTTCCTCTGAAGAATTTCCTTGATCCTTGGTTTAATCCCAGTATATGGGGGTGGGGAGTAATATTCTTGGTCTAGCAAAAGAGAAAATGTGGGGTACACCCTGCCTGGAACAGGAACTGGCTATTCACAGAAGAGGGATTGTAAAAAGTGTTAACTATGTTAATTCTGAGCAAGTTAGGGAGAGTTACCCTTCAAATATCTGGGACAATTTTTTCTAGAAATGCTTTCAATCCAAATCACTGCACATTGTTCTTCAAGGACAGATGTAGATATAAGTGTTTAGATAACTGGTTCTCAAGATGCATCAGAATCACCTAATAAACTTTCTTTTTTCTAGTCCTATTAGAGGTTCCAGCTCAGTTATTTTTTCTCAAAGCTTCCTAAGTATAAAAATTGATAAAATTACTTGGGAAAACTGTTAATTAATTTCCTGGGTCACCATAACAAATAAAGCTTGTTGGCTGAAATAAAAATAGGTAAATATATAAGTAGAAAAATTAAGATAATAAATACAAATTTTTATCTTACAGTTTTGGAGGTCTCACTGGGCTTAAAAATCAAGTTGTTGGTAGAGCTGTGTTCCTCAGGAAAGAGGAAAATCTTTTTCTTTGCCTTTTCCAACTTCTAGAGGTTGCCAACATTATTGGCTCATTGCCTCCTTCCTCCATCTTTAAATCTAGGGTCAGTAGGGTGCAGTAGGGCATGCCTGTAATCCCAGTGACTCTGGAGGCTGAGGCAGGAGGACCTGAAAGTTTGAGGGCAACCCTAGCAACTTAGCAAGACATGTCTCAAAAATAAAAAGGGTGTGGTGGTAGAGCATCTCTGGGTACAATTTCCAGTACCACAGAAATAAATCCAGGGTCATCAGGCCATCCCCAATTTTGCCATACTACTATTTCTCTGGTTCTCCTCTGCTCTACTTGCCTCCCTCTTCCCCATATAAGAGCCCTTGTGATTATATTGGGCCCACCTGAGCAATCAAGAATGAAGTCCCTTTTTAAATTGTTTACTTTGTCATACTAGGGATAGAACTGAGGGCTCACACTTGCTAGGCAAGTGCTCTCCAGCCCTGATGTCCCTATTTTAAGATGATTAACAGCCCTCATTCTTTTTTGCCATACAACGTAATACAGGTGCCAGGAATAAGGGCATAATTATTTATTGTGCCTACCATAGTTAACAACTACTAAAATTGAATACATTTATGCTTTATGAATAGGCAATTCTACTCCTACGTATATAACTAGCAATGTGTGTATATTATACAAAAAGACATTTACTAGATTATTTATGGCAGCATTGCTTATAATCGTCCCAAACTCTCATCTACCAAAAAAAAAAAAAAAAAAAAAAAGTAAATAAGTGTGGCAACCAAATGCATTGGTTAAGCATTCAGAACTCCTTTGGGATTAAACAAGAAGTCAACTGAAATGCTAAATTTCTCAGGGTCAAAACTAGAAGGTGGTTTTGAGGCCAGAACCTAAGAGATGGTAAACATAGGTTTGAGGAAAAGGGGTAAATTTATGGGGTTCTCTTAAGCAAGGTGAATAAGATTCAAGTATGTATGGTGGGGAAAGTAATGGGATGTAAGACCTTGTTCTTACTGAACTTGTCACTAAACAGCTTTGCACACTTGATAAAGTCCTGGCACTTCTTTGAACTCGAATTTTATATCAAAGTTAAAGAATGTGACCTGGATTCCTGAGTTCTGTGAGATTCCAGGCAGCCCCAACTACTCTGGCAGAACATGTTCTGGTCAGATTAAAGGAGCTCTTTACCCGCAAAAGACAGGAGCCAGCGGCACAGCCACTAGGTACATTCTGATACAGGCTCCTTTCCTCAACTGCCAAACAAACGTGTCTTCAGGCGTTGACAGTCTGAGATCAGCCTCCTCCCTCAGCCACCTAGCCCCGCCTTTCCCCTACAAGTGTCCCCTTCCGCAAAGAGGAACACCCTATTCAATGTCCTACGGTGCAAAACGTCCCAGCCCCAAGTCCTCCGCTTACGTGGCGACCACGTTCTAGCACGTGAGTCCCTTATAGAATTCCCACTGTAGGTGCGGCCAAACTGGCGGGGCGACTTCTCGGAACAGTCCGCTAGCGTCCAACAGTTCAGGGAACCCGCGCTACTGCGCCTGTGCGGTGAAAGGGTTGGGTATTTAACTGTGGTGGGTGCTGGTACTCTACGCTGCTGGCGGGAGAGAGCAAAGAAAAAAACGAAGGCCGTCAGAAATGGCTGTTTGGGGAAATGATAGGTTGGTGGAAAGAGCCGGTGCAGAGCGCGCCTCTGACTGGGGTGGGACCCGCCTCCGTTCCAGCCAATCAGGGCGCGGGGCGGGGCGGCCTGGCGGGATCCGTTTCGTCGGCTCTGGAGGCGCGTCTCTGCTACGAATCTGCGCCCTGGGGACGCTTTGCTGTGTCTAGGCTTCTCGAGAAAGTTCTGCTCCGCCCCGTGCAGCAGCGACTGCAGACCTTGAGCTTGGTCTTTTGGGCGGCTCACGACTCTCTCACAGTCGCGCCACCGACAGTGTTCAGGGCTGGCCTCTGATTCCTAGGGTCTGAGATGGAGCCAGTGACTTTAAAAAAAAAAACTCGTGAGCGAACCTGGTGCCAGCCAAGGTTGAAGCCCCGTGGCTGTTTCAGCCCTGCTGTGCTGGGAATGGTGACCGAGCTGGAGGGCGTGTGGTTCCCCGCCCCAGACCTGGGGTTGGAGCACGGACGCGGGCCGCGGGTCCGCGAGATGAGGTTGACCCTCCGAGCGCAAGCTCCTCCCTGTAGGCGTCCCTCTGGGAGCAGGACAGAGTTTGGCATTTGCTCCGGGAACCTGCGGGACCGACTAGGCCGCTGGGGTGTGGGTGAGGACGGTCCCGCTGGGCGCCGAGTCCGCTGACTCTGCTTTCTCTGCACCAGCTCCCTGGCTAGGTTCTTACCGAGCCCAGGTTCAACCTCCCCATGTAGTTTAGTCGTCCAGATAGATCACTTAGGACCTGACCAGTTAGCTGTTTCTTAAGTAGCCTGTTTCAACTAATGGCATGGTTTATTATTACAAGGGTTCTTTTTTGGGGGGTGGGTGCTGGGGAGCTCTTGGGTATTTTTTTTTTCTTATACTTAAATTCGGAGAATATTTTACAGTACTCCCGTATATGGAATTAGAAAATTTCGTTTGGTTTCATTGGCAGTTTTGTTGAGGTATAATCTACATACCATAAAAATGCACCCATTTTAAGTGTATGATTTAGTGATTTTAGTGTACAGTCATGTGTGGATTTATGATAGGAACACTTCAACAAAATGCGTTTCTTAGTCAATTTCGACCATGATAGGGCATGAACTAAGAGGACTACATGGTCACTAAGCAATATAACTTTTTGGACCCCATTGTAAATGTGGTCAGTCCTTTACTGAAAAGTCATTATTCCACACATGACTATTTCCAGAGTTGTTCAACAGGAAATCTTGATAGCACCCCTACCACCACCACCACCACCACCACACACACACACACACACACACACACACACAATTTGACATTCTACAGATACGATGTAACATAAGGGCCCTTGAAAGTATATACTTAGGGCTGGGGTTGTGGTTCAGTGGCAGAACACTTGCCTAGCATGTGTGAGGCACTGGGTTCGATTCTCAGCACCTATTATCAATAAATAAAATAAAGG